TCCCTTCCAACCCTGGCCATTCTGTGATTCTGTGATTATTAGTTTTTCTACTCTTCTTATTGGTGATGCTACTATATGGATAATCAGTCATTTTTTGTCAAGTATTCTTCCCTATTTGTAAAAGATCAAAGAAATAGTTGAACTTAATATAATGAATAAATTATTAGTCTGATTAGTGTATGTGATATCAAAACAAGAATAGTCATCAGAGCCACTGATAAACTTTAGGAGCTGCTGTGAATTTCACCCTTGTGCTTTTCTTGAATTGACAGTGCACTGGAATCCTGAGGATTCCTTTCTTGGTAACAACAGACAAGGAGAAGATATTCACATGTAGGAAAGGAGAGCAGTGAACATGTTGGTAAACATATAAAATTCCCAAGTGAAGGAAAAATTCTTGTCTTGTGCATGGTTTCTGTAAGGAGCAGCCTGCTTATGGCATGGTTATGAGCATTAAATCATTCAGTCTTTGAAAGATAAAGATGCTTGAGTTCATCCCATCTAAATTAGATACTTTGTGAAGGCACCTAAATTGAGAAGATGGGCATGAATATATACTTTCAGTGCTTTTGTCTCTCACTATTGAATGTGGTAAGAACATAGCACTACTAGAAATCCTAACCTGTACTGCTCAGGTGTGTGTCTGGGGTATGGCAGAATAAAAGCAGATGAAGTGTTCTCCTGCAGTACGTGCATCTGGTCCTCCTCTTTTAGATTCCAAAGAAAGAACATTTGTCTAGATGCAGCGTTGGCCTCATCTCATATAGCAGTCAGTAAGATACTTAAGAAAGAATATAAATAATGTAACTTTCTCCAAGTTATTAATTACAATTATGCAAATGATGATGAACAGAATTAGCACCACTGTAGCAGGAAGAGAATCTTCCTCAACCTCCCTTCAGTCAAATGACATGGCTCTGTAAACTAGTACACAAGCTTAAAACAGATGAATAGGTGTAATGAAATAAACTTAAGTATGTATTTTATCTTTATAATGAGTGACTTTATGGATCCTCTCTCTGAGATCTCCCTTCATTCTGAAGGGGAGACGACTTCACTTATTATTCTGATATTTCTGTGACCAGTTATACAACACCTAGATGCACAACTGAATGCAAATTTTTTTATGAATGAGGGCTAATTATATACTTTTATGAATTTTGTAACAAAGTGGTGGAAGCTTATGACCAGAAATAATTCTCTACAAATCCATGGAAATACTGATATAATATTCATCATATAGATGTTAACCTGTAGAAAAAAATTAACAAGAAAAGTTACCAGCCATGTAACTACTACTTTTGAGACCTACCTGTCTCTGAGTTTTCCTGAACATGCCTGTGAGACTATTCCAATGTCTAAGTAGGCTGTAAGTAGTAGTGCTAGAGTTGGATTTGAGCATGTGTAGGGAACTAGGCCTAAACTGAGTGGCTTTGAGTGCAGCATATTGCACTGCTAATCTGATTGTAGTGTATTTATGTCCCATGCTAGTTTGGACAGACGGCCAACAGTGCTGTGCCAGTGTAGTGCCCCAAACTAGCTCTAGGAGACTATCTCATGGTATATTGCATATATACAAATACAATTCTGATTAAGTGGATGTGTATCATATACTACCCCTTCATCCCCCATGGGTACATGAGTGTAATATACCTTGCTCATATGTTCTCTACTTGTTTGTATTGACAGTGAGGTATTTTTGGAGTGTAAGGATAAAAGCTTTTGAAGGATCAGTATATATCAAGAGAGGGAAACTGAAGAAATGGTAGCCTAGTAGATATGAGAAGCTGGTATTTGAGAAAGATTTGCTTTCAGAACCTTGTCAATACTGCCAAACAATCTGGAGGAAAATAAGCCAGAAAAATTGTTCATCTTGAATACAGAACCAAGAGTTTCTCTGAATTTTATTCGGGATTCAATCTGAAAAGACTACAGATGTTTTCCAAAATAATTTTTACAGAGATGTAATGATGATATTTATGATTTAGATATTTCCATACCAGGGATGCTGTCAACTTACTACTTCTATTACTATTTTGTAAATATACTCACAGAACATAAAAATTACTCGCAGACTTGGGGGGAACATTTGTTTGGTTTGACGTAGAGCTTCAGAACCAGTTAGGGTAGTATGGTTAGGTTGCAGTTGGATTTGATGATCTTTGAGGTCTTTTCCAACCTAAGCAATATTCTATTGTATTCTACAAATCTTGCAAAATATAGTCCTTTCACAAGTCACATGGTTTTGCTACATAACCTTTCTTAATGAATGTATTTTCTCATATTCTTATTATTGTCCCTGTGCAGAAAAAAAACATCACTAAAAGATGCTTGCAAATAAAAGATCAAGGGCAGAGCTAACTTAATCTGAAACTGAATATGGAAGCTGATACTTTCCTGGGAAATTCTGTCAGGGCTGTCTGACAAAGATTATTTCCATAGAGCTCAGATGTGAAGACATATAAAAGAAGTACATTAATGAGAGGCTTGCAGTCCTTTTGCATTCCCAGTTGTATACATCTGCTAAGCTATTATGATATTCTGTGTTGCACAAGTTGTACACTAAATGCAAAATCTAATAAAGGACCTTGGAATATTCTAGTTAAACAGGATAATGCTATATTTGTGTTCTGACAAATCAAAACCCAGAATAAGATTCACAAAAGATTTAGGCCTTCTGATAGGAGATACATAATATCATGATGTTGAATTGAGTTGCCTTGTGCTAACCAGAACTTGGCACAGGGCTTTCTTGAAGTGATCTTTTAGTCCTCTTCAGAATACAGGTAAATGAAACAGAGTATTCTAAGTATTCTTGTGTCTAAGTATTTAAGTACTTTTATTTTTGAAGAGTATGTATTTCTTAGAACTACCTGTAGTTGAAAGTTTTTAGAATGGCATGATAGCCGTGCACTGACATATCCTTCTGCTTGTTACTGAAGTAACTCTGGCTATAGTTTCTGTGTTTTTGTACTAGACTCATTGCTGTTGGTAAGCGCGTTGAAAATATGCTTACCAAATAAATGGAGCATATGGTCCAATCAAGGGATTACACAGACTGGTTTCCTAGCTGTTATAGCCATGACTAGAGGTTCCCCTTATCTACAAGCACTTAACAAAAGTAAGCATAATTTTAGAATGTGTTTCAGAGGAGCAATGGGGGTGTACAAAAATATTTTTCTTTCTAGTTTTGTTTCTGAACTGTTATACCAAGTTCACAAACATGGATTGATGAGATTTATAAATCTCAATTTAGGCGCCTGCGTACGTTTGAGACCTACGCTTTTATATGGTATGTTTTTGCTTTTTCCAGTCCACACCTGGATATCAATTTATCATTTCCTTATGTCAGCAAATATGCAACCTGCTTGCTTTCTTTCTTACTGTATAAGAAGAGGCAAGCACCATGTAGAAATAATATTAAAGAGTGGTTAACCTAGGGGGTATAATTGTAGGGAACTGACCATGTTACGTAGATGATATTACTGTACACAGAAGTAGGATGTTCACAGAAGATAAAAGTGTGTTCTTTGGTTATTGTGTTTATATTTCCTCTGAAGACTAAATCCTGTCTCATTCAAGTTAGGTGGTTTGTTTTTTTCCCTCTAGGCAAAATTCTTTGCTGGTTTAGGAAGCGTGATTACAAAGACAACTGCAGTTGCAGAAATAGTCATAAAATTTAGGGGGGGATTTGCCTCTTTCAGGGACTTGGAATCAGTTAATTGGATGAGTAAAATAAATGCTATTAGTTACCAAAACTTAAGAACAATTGGAAGAGTTTTGAAACTCTGAACAAAATTCAATAAGCATTAGGAGGAAGAAATGGATGTTGAATGCTAAATGCTTTCTGATTTCTTTCTCACAGAATTCTAGCTTTCTCTCTGAAGCACTTTTTCCCATGCACGCGACAAGAACTGAAGAGCTGGATCCCTCCTTCAAACTGCACGAGAACATTGCAAAGGTAAAAGAAATTGAGTGATCTCATTTCCATGTACTTTCTTTCACAGAGATAAATTATGGTTTGTGAATATAGACAGTTTTGAAAGATGACCCAGTGTTGTTTTCATGTTACTACTCGTTTTGCAGTAAAAAGTGTTGAAGGATTTTTCATTGAGATTCACCTTCTGAATGTTCTCTACTGTAAAACTGGTTTATCTGAATGATCAAAAGAGCTTTTGTGTCTGCTTCATTTAATGTGATTTGGTTGTATTTGTCATTGTTCACATTAAGCTTGTCATTGGCATGAATGCAAGGCATTAAGCGTTGATGGTGGGAAGTAGCAAGTTTGTTGCTGTCAGTTTTGACAGTAAAGAAGGTTCTGAGGGCATCTTCACCTGCACACACTTGATTTTATGATGTCAGTGTTCTCACACGGGAGGAGGAGATTTGCAATCCTGAAGATTGGTTCTGGAGATTGGTCTACAGAGGGGTTATCCCCAAACTCAATGTATTTTGACTCATCTCTCATTGCTCTATTATAGTACTACCTCTTTTTTATTTATTCATACAAGCAAAACCACTCCTTGCTCTAAAGCACTTTTTCTTCACTGTGTCCACTCAGCAAGCCCTGATTCTGCAAAGATACGTGTCTGTAAATGAAGTCTCCTTCAGGAATTCATTCACTTGCACTCAAACTGCCTATAAACCTATTTAGACCTAACAAACTGATTTCTTTGTTTATTTGGAGCTACTTCTTTTGGAAGAGCAGCTGCTGTTGAAACCTTTCTTTTGGCAACACAAAAATAAATTCTCAAAGATCAGCAATATGGAAATATAGCATGTAGGCAGATGAGCAGCTCTGGCAAAATAGTTACTAACGTTTCTTTGTGGTGAAGAACCAAGACTTTAACTGCACTAGTAGCATGTTATAGTGACATCTTAAGTGGGATTTACAGATCTTGAAATCTGAAGAGTGTTTTGTAGTGCCTATATTGAGTATTAAAGTGGAGGAATGTTTGCCGGGGTGGCAGGGAATGAACACAGACCAGGAGAAGTCGGTTGAGACACATACTCATAGAAATACGTGCTAACTTCCAACAAGTTTTTTCAGTGTTATTCAGCACTCTACATCAGTGTTCCACAGTAACTATTTAACTGTAGGTATTAATGATAAGTCTGAAAATACTTGGGTGTTATGAAATACGCTCACTGGAGTAGTCTAATCATGCTCCAGGATTACGCAGTTCTGAAAGCTTTAATGGCAGTTCCCTAACAGGGAGTGCCCTTGGAGCCACTTACCTGATAACAGACTTGGAATAGCAATAACCTTTTATTGATTTTTACTTTGGCAGACACCAAAGTATTGAAAGATATGCCAGAAGTGACATAATTGTTTTCATAATGAGTTATGGGTGCTGACAGATGACTCTTGAGAAAATTATTAGTGATCCTAACTATTCTACACTTTGATTATAGAGCTGTGTAAAGTAGAACTAACTACTATAATGCAATTAACTTACAGACTTCACATAAAATGGCAATAATGAGCAATATTTTCATTTGTAGAGGAAATACCTTTTGTGTGTGTGTAATATACTGTAGCAGTTCCATTTGTATGTTTTTTTTTTTTCTAAATAAGCACTTCCAAAAATATGGCAGACATTCTTTTCTTGAAGCAAATGGAATAGAAAACACTAAATTTTTGTTTGGTGAATGAAATCCGTTTTAATCAAGAAAATCATAGAATTGCAAGGTTGGAAGCGAGCTGCAAGATAGTCTAGTCCAACCATCCTCCCATTACCATTGCTGCCACAAGCGTCTAAACCATATCTCATAGCTCCTCATCCAGACTCTTCTTGAACACTGCCAGGGACGGCGACTCCACCACCTCCCTGGGCAGCCACGCCAGTGCCTTACCACCATCTGAGAGAAAAAGTTCTTCCTTATGTCTAACCTAAACCTCCTCTGGTACAACTTGCAGCCATTTCCTCGGATCCTGTTTGTTGCCTGGGAGAAGAGGCGAAACCCTTCCTCATCACAACCTCCCTTCAGGAAGTTGTAGAGTGCAATAAGTCTCCTCTGAACCTCCTCTTCTCCAGACTAAACAATCCCAGTTCCCTCAGCTGCTCCTCATAAGACTTGTGCTCCAGACCTCTCACCAGTTTCGTTGCTCTTCTCAGGACCTCGGGGTTTTTTTTGTAGTGAGGGGCCCAAAACTGAACACAGTACTCAAGATGTGGCCTCACCAGTGCTGAGTAAAAAGGGATGATTACCTCCCTGCTCCTGCTGGCCGCACTATTTCTCATGCAGGCCAGGATGCCGTTGGCCCTCTTGGCCACCTGGGCACACTGTTGGCTCATGAACATGTTGGCTGAGAACATGTACAGCACGGATTCTGTGATATGAGGAATTCTCTAACAGATCATACTCCTTTTTTCTTTTAAAGCATGAGAGGGATATATATATTCCCATTTACTCATATAGTGCCATTAATTATCTAAGACAAGTGAAAAGAATACCCATTCATATTTGGTATACAGTGATTTCTGTATCTTCAGTAGTTCTTGTCTACATTATTGCTGTAAGTCAATTTTTGTGGTTTGATGCATGCTACCTCTGCTAAATATTTGGGTTGGGAATTCCATCTCATTTTAATGCAATAGTGTCTGTGAATGAGCTCTTTTTTTGTATGGTTCTGTACTGAAAAAGTTACAAGTAGCTGTGTGTATATATATATATATATTATATATATATATATAACTTTTATGCAATATTTCCATAAATTATTGAAATAGTAAGTTTATTGAACAGAAGATAACATCCAAATTAATATGAAAGAGGGAAAACCCTACAATTCCAAAGACTGTTAGTGCCTATTTTGAATCAATACAAAAATGATATGGAGAAAAGTAATAATGCTATTTGTTGCCAGAATTTAAAAACAAAACAAAATATTGTAGTCAACCAGCTTGAAACTTCTTTGCATTTCACTGAAGCATCTGTTGTATTTTTGGCAGGGATGTAATCTTTGTAATATCAAGGTGGAAACAATTCACCAACCATGTACAGCACATCTACGTTGCAAAATTTTACCAGAAATGTTTCTTCCAGCAGATTATTACTGGCATAGCTACTTCAGTAAAGTACGTTCACATTCATGTGTTGTTCCCACTACAAATCACCTTTTTTGCTATCAGATTACTCTTTGAAGAAGCTGTGTGGCATTGTGCTTATGCATCCCAGTGGCCTCTCCTTCAGTGCAGCTGTGCATCTGGATTTCAATTGACATCTTCCTTTTTCATTTAAAAATTTCCTTGATGTAGAACTACTGTAGAATTTGGCAGAGTGGTTCATGATTTCCAAACAGCAGAGACAGAATATTATTTCAGAGCTACAGCAGATGTATCAAAATGCTGGTATGGTGCATACAGAATGAACCTGAAATATTCAGATAGCAGAAGTCCAGTACACCCGAGTTGCATATCCAAACCAACACCAGTGAACCACATGGCAGCCTGCCCCTGCATGGCTGTGTAGTGTGCAAACTGGAAGTTTTTGTTCTCTCATGAAAATGAGATGTTTTGGAGTACCAATTTCCACAGATAACTTATCCAGTTAACTTTCTACAGTGATTTGTTCCTTTTGATGTCATTTTTAAAATTCCTATTTTAATTGAGTCTGCCAGACTTTCACATCAGCTATCAGTCTCTCTAACATTATTCCTCTGAAGACAGGAGTTATGCACCAACCAACATTAGTATTGCTTTTTTAAAGATAAATTATGCTATGATTTCATACTTGTAAAACAAATTTCCAGAGCCTCTAGCAAGCAAACAGGAGTGCAGATGGGTAAGTGAGAGAGATGGTGAATGAAGCCAACATGCAGGAGGGGCAGTTTGGGCTGTGTGAAGTGATACCAGGCTGGAGAGCCAGATTAATATCCATATTGAAGGAAATCTGCAATTGATAATTTTTAGATGTAACATTTGACCTTGCTTTGAAGAATTCAGAATAGTCTGCAATATCACTTGGATTGTATGCCACATGTAAAACCATCTGGAAATTGTTGGTTTTTTTATCTGAGAAATTGCAGGATAACTTGGTTCATGTCTTGATTTTTCTGTTTGTCCTCCCACAGCTGGGAGCAGTTTGTGATATTTCAGTAGATCCCATCTGCCTTAAGGTGATATAATACTAAGAGGCAAATTTTATTAGTAAAATTTGTTAACATAGGTGCAGCATAATGCTCCAATTGCCAGATGGTCTCTCCATAACTTAGATTACTTGTTTTGTTGAATAGCCTCTCATAGACTGGTCTGAAGCATCTTACTGGTATTTTGTGGTTTAATGGCATCTGAGATGTGCAAAGCAGAACTGTTGTTTGTGGTGACAGTCTTACTGCATTTGCACAAAACCAAACTTGTCTGAATTTTTCTGTAAAAAAAAGCAGTAAAAAAGCACAGTAATATTTCACAGAAATGGTTTTATTTAGCACGTGTTCTCTTAAGCACACAAGTGAGAGTTTTTATTTTACCCTTAGCCTTCTTGCATGAAAGAACATCTAATCCAGTTCAAGCAGAGGGTAAATACAAACCTGCTGAAAACTCCCATCTGACAATGTGTATTTTATTCTGTTATTCTGTAGTTATTGCGAACAGCAGGGAAAAAAAAGCAAGAAAAAAAAGAAGTGAGAGAAAGCCTGGTGATATAAACTTTCTCTGTAACTTTGCGGGTGCTATATGAGCTGTAGTGAACAAGCAACAGCATTCAAAGAAAAAAAAAAAAATGGGAATTTTTTCAGCATTAAATGTGAAAGAGGAGACTTTGCAGTGGAAGACATGAGGTGTCTGACAGACATTCGCACTGTGCTGGGCCAAACAATATATTCCCTGTGTGTTCTAGTCTAGTTAGGGCAGATACGCTTGGAATTTTCCAGTAGTTCTTTGGTCTTATAAGCAAATAGCCTCAAGGATTCTTGCACTTTATACTTGAACTCTGGTGGATATAAACTAGTTAATAAAA